TGGATAATGACATTTAACCATTATTAGACAATTCTACCCATATGCTCAGATTTCTCCAGAACAACCAGCATCTATATGATTTTTCTCTCTTTAATAAAGGTAATTTGTTAAGCTAATAATGACAAACAATTTAATTTTTTGCTTTTGATAAACTGTTTGACAAAAAGAGGGGGGCAGGTAAAGCCCTCTGTTCATTCACTAGGTCATGATATGGGGATTTTGCAATAAGCCTACCTTGCCTATACATGGGTCTTGAAGCCAGGCTTAGAGTGAGTGTGTTAAGATTCATGCCACATGATGTATTAGATGGGTGGGGCTCTGAAAACCAAACAAAAGAGGGTGTCTCAGACACCCAAAGGCCAGAAGCAGCTGCTATGGAGATTTCAGTCGGCTATGTCAGGAGCTTATTTCAAGGGCAGGATTGCTGTTTGGCTTCTGTCAATGTTTTTCTATATTTGTGAGCAAGAAAATACAAGGGAATTGTTTAGACCAGTATGCTGGATGTCTGCCCATGACATTTAATTCTCTTGTCATGAAGGCTAAGAAACCACTGATGATTTTGGTCCTTAATTTGAAAGGTGGTTAGGGAGGGGAGCATGTCTACTGAGGATTTAACTATAGGCCAGTAATCAGAATAACACAGGAGGGGGCACCTTCAGCTTGTGCAAAATAGATTGTGTAGTCCAGAATGGCCCAGTTGATGGTGGGAAAAGGTGCAGGCTTGCCAGACAGGATGACTTATTCCATTGCTATTAGTGACTTTTGAGGGAATGACTGATGAAATGCTCACTATCCTCTTGTCCAACTAGAAGTACACACTTAGGACATTCAGTTCTTTGAGAAACCACTTGAGGTTAACATTGGTATGAGGTTAAGGAGTAAGCAAAAAGACGCTCACCCCATCTTTCTCTTGAGTGGTGCAATCTCACTGTATCAATTACTTGATTCTCCCTCATTACAATTCTTCTTTGTACAGCATATCTCTCTGCATACTTAACTCATTCTTGTTTTGCACAGCTTTTCAAAGCCTTCAGAATGGTTTGATGCACCTTAGCTCTTATAATTCTCCCAAGAGCTATGTAAGTTATGTGAGAAACATTTTGTCCCCCTTTTTCAGATTAATTAACTGGGGCCAGAAAATATTAAGTGACTCATCCAAGGAAATAGCTTGAAAGAAGAAGAGCTAAGTAAGTTGACCAAACATCCAATGTTGCCAGATACTGTCCCAGTTTTAGCACTGAAAGTCCAATGCCACAGGGTAGCCTTTTATGCCTGAGCAAACCTGGATGATTGGGTACACCTATATCTAGGATCAGAACCCATATCTCACAACTGTCTCAGACCAATGCCAATGCTAATGCTACTGCTCTATGCCATCTGTATTCCAAGAATTATTATCTGAATGTTTTCCCTTCTCTACATCTTAGTGCACCAGGACATTTATTCATGCTGGGTCATTTTCCACTTCTACTCTACCTAAAACAGAAGCAATACCAGTTAGGTGTCCTCAAAGGTACTTCACACAATTTTGATAAAAAAGGTTGTCCTTCAGCTTTCTCAGCCACAGCTTTCTCATTGCTCACCTCACATGGATGGTGTGTAATTTGCATCTATCCGATGATTAGTTGCCTTGAGCAATTTCTCATATCTCTTGGCCATCAGTATGTCTTCTTTGGAGAAGTGTCTACATAGGTACTTTGCCCATTTTTAAAAAAATTTCATTGCTTCTTCCTTTTCTTAAGTTCTATGAATTCTTTATATATTTTGGACACTAACCCTTTATCAGATGTGTCATTGGCAAATATGTTCTCCCATACAGTGGGATTCCTTTTTATTTTGTTGATGGTTTCTCTTCCTGTGCAGCTGTTTATTTTGATGTATTCCCATGTTGGGGAGCACACAAGACTTGGTTGGAAAGTTTGTAAGGAGGACATTCTGAGAAAAGGGACTTGTGGGAAGGCCGCCTGCCCTATTTATCAGAATTCTGATGTAAGGGAGACTTAGGGGAGTATCGAAGGCAGCTCCCCTAATTATTCTTTGACCTTTCCAAACAAGTCTGTGTACATGCAGATCCCTGGGTGTTTACTGGAATCCTTATGCTTAATCCCTGGATGCCCTTGCCTAGAGGACAATGTAAACACATGTGTCCTCCCAAGATTACTCACCCTACTGATTGTATCTAAAGATAAAAATTCCAATAAAAGCCTAATGAGGCAGGCAGTCGAGGCTGCTTGGACCTTTGAGCCAGGCAAACCCCTTAGCCCTCTCTTTTACAGTGAAACTGTGTCAGAGTAACCTGTTCATCCGTGGTTCAGGGGCTGCTGGTCAGCCCCAGCATTCCCATTTGTTTATTTTTCCCTTTGTTTCCCTTGCCCTAGGACAGTGATGGCGAACCTTTTGAGCTCGGCGTGTCAGCATTTTGAAAAACCCTAGCTTAACTCTGGTGCGGTGTCGCATATAGAAATTTTTTGATATTTGCAACCATAGTAAACAAAGACTTATATTTTTGATATTTATTTTATATATTTAAATGGCATTTAACAAAGAAAAATCAACCAAAAAAATGAGTTCGCGTGTCACCTCTGACACGCGTGTCATAGGTTCGCCATCACTGCCCTAGGAGATGTATCAGCAAACATATTGCTAGGAGATACGTCTGAGATTTTGCTGCTGAAGGTTTCTTCTAGGATTTTTATGGTTTCACAACCTACATTTAAGTCTTTTATTCATTTTGAGTTTATTCTCTTGTATGGTGTAACTTGATGGTCTAGTTTCATTTTCTTGCATTTACTTGTCCAATTTTCCCAAAACCATTTATTGAAGAGACTGTCTTTTTTTATGTTTTTATTGATTTCAGAGAGGAAGGGAGAGGGAGAGAGAGATAGAAACATCAATGATGAGAGGGAATGAAGAGACTGTCTTTACCCTATTGTATGCTCTTACGTCTTTTGTCAAGTATTAATTGAGCATAATGGCTTGGGTCAATTTCTGGGTGCTCTGTTCTGTTCCATTGATCGTTATGCCTCTTCTTGTGCCAGTATCAGATTGTTCTGATTGTAATGGCTTTGTAGTATAATTTGATATCAGGTATTGTGATCCCTCCAAATTTGCATTCTTTTCTCAAGATTGGTGTGACTTTTGGGGGTCTCTTTTGGTTCCAAATAATTTTTTGGATTATTTGTTCTATATCTGTGAAAGATGCCATTGCCATTTCAAGAGGGATTGAGTTGAATCTATAGATTGCTTTGGGTATTATGGGCATTTTAATTATGTTAATTATTCCAATCCATGAACACAGTGTATTCTTCCATTTGTTTGTATATTTCTCTGTTGCTTTTCTCAGTATCCTGTAGCTTTCTGAGTATAGGCTTTTTACCTCCTTGGTTAAGTTTATTCCAAGATATCCTTTCTGTTGTTGTTGTTGTTGTTGTTGTTGTTGTTGTTGTTGCAATGACAAATGGGTTTTTTGTTTTTTCAGTTTCTCTTTCTGAAAGTTCATTACTGGTGTATAAAAATGCCGTAGATTCCTGGATGTTAATTTTGTATCTTGCTACTTTTCCAAATTCATTTATTAAATCTAGTAATTTTTGGTGGAGTCTTTAGAGTTTTCTATGTACAATATCATGACAAACTGTGAATAATGAGTTTCATTTCCTCCTTTCCAATTTGAATGGATTTTATTTTTTCTTCTTATCTGATTGCTGTGGCTAAGATTTCTAGTACTATGATGAATAAGAGTGGTGAAAGAGGGCATCCCTGTCTTGTTTCTGTTCTTAAGGGAAATGCCTTTAGGTTTTGCCAATTGAGTAATATTAGCTGTAGTTTTGTGGTATATGTCCTTTATTTGTGTGATTGCTCTATATCCACTTTGCTGAGAGTTGTTATAAAAAATGTGTGCTGGATTCTGTCAAATGCTTTTTCTGCTTCTATTGATATGATCATATTATGACTTTTATCTTTCAGTTTGTTTATGTGATGTACCATATTTATTGGTTGGCGAATATTGCGCAGGCTTGCGTCACCAAAATAAATTTTGTTTGGTCATAATGGATAATCTTTTTAATATATTTCGGGTCTGATTTGCTGATAATTTGTTTTAGATTTTGGCATGTATGTTCATCTGGGAAATTTTGCCAGTAATTTTCTTTCATTGTAGTTTTTCTGGTTTTGGAATTAGGATAAAGCTGGCCTCATAAAAAGAACTTGGAAGTCTTACTTTCTCTTGAATTTTTTGCAATATTTTGAAGAGGATAGGTGTTACTACTTCTTTGAATGTTTGTTAAAAAAACCCTTGTTAACCTGTCAGGTCCAAGACTTTTGTATCCTGGGAGGTTTTTTGTTATTGTTGTTTGTTTGTTTGTTGTTGTTTGTTTGGTTTTTTATCACTGCTTCAATTTCATTAGTTGTTATTGATTCATTCAGATGTTCTGATTCTTCCTGAGTCAGTTTTGGAAGATTGTATGCTTCTAGGAATTTATCCTTTTGTACAGTTTGTTCAATTTGTTGGGATATAGTTGTTTGTAATATTTTCTTACAATCCTTTGTATTTATGTGGTGTCAGTTGCTGCTTCACTTCTCTCTTCCCTAATTTTATTTATTTAGGTTCCCTCTCTTTACTTCTTGATGAGTCAATCTCTATGTGGTCTACTCTTTATGTCATTGTTTATAAGGATTCTCCTCAGCTAGTCTTCAGTTGGTTATTCAGGATGGTTTTACTATATTTTAGTTGTAACTACAGTTTGGTCCTCAGAAAATGTCAGTGTAGCTTCCACTTAATCAGCCATCATCTTGGAATCCTGCATTAGCTGTTTTAGTCAGGCTTCCCCCAACTCTATCTCCAAGTCTGAGACAAGTTTAAGAGTACACAGAAATTTTAAAAATAAATAAATAAATAAGATTAAGAGGGCACATGAATCAAGTGACATAGAAGCTACTACTTAACTTACAATCTATTTCTACTAGTTCCCTAGTTTTTTTATGTTCTATTCCCACAGCCCTCCCACCATGGATTGCCAAGAAAATGAATATTGGGACCAATGGGGACGGTGTGTCACTTGCCAACTGTGTGGCCCTGGACAAGAGCTCTCCAAGGTAAGTCCTAGTGGTCAGAATATTTCTTCTGTTACATCTTAGAAACAGTCTGGCAATTGAGAGGGTCCAAAATTGGGAGAGCCCCACACGTGCTTAATACAGTTCAATGGGCAAAATACGGAATCCAAAGATTATAACAATAGCTGTTATAGCTCCAACAAGAAGTCAACCTGCCAAGGTGAGGGTCAGAAGGGGTTGTTTTCTGCTACCTTGTCTTCCAAATCACTGGCTTGATCCTTGGCTCCATCTAACTTACTATTGATTCATTCTAGTGTATCCTTCATCTCAGATCTTGTATTCATTTATGACTGGTTCTTTTTTGTTTTTATGTCTTCTTTTATACTTAGTATCTCTTTGTTTAAGTCCAAGTTTCCTGAGCATCCTTATAACCATTGCTTTGAACTCTGTATCTGGTAAATTGCTAGCCTCTATCTCATTTAATTATTTTTATCTGGGGATTTCTCCTGTTTGTTTATTTGGGACATGTTTCTTTGTTTCCTTTTTTGGCTACCTTTTTCTATTTGTTTCTGTGTATTATGTATATATGCTATGTCTACCAGTCTTCGTGTGGTGGCTTTATGCAAGGTGTCCTGTGGGTACCAGTAGCACAAGCTCCCTTATCACCCAAGCAAGATTATCTAGGAATGTCTCAAGTGTGGGTTATTGTTGGGGTCCAGCCCCAGTAGGTCCAGGGGTTCCCAAAAGTGTGGACGGAGTCAGCAAAGAAGGAATGACATGGAAACAGAGTTCAGTTGATCAGCAGCCTAGCCAGGATCTCTAGCCAGGATCTCCAGCCAAGTTCTGTGTTTTATTGTCTTATTACATCTGTATTTATACCAGTTGATTTTAATCCTATCAATTTCTATTCCAAAGGTTAGGGCATTTCTTATCTCCATTCCAGGGAGTAAAGATTATGTAGCTTAAGCATGATTGTTTGTAGTTAAAGTGATTAACTACCTGTTGAGGAGAAACCAAGATGGCATCATAGGTAAACACTGGAGATTGCTGCCTCGCACAACCACTTCAAAAATACAACTAAAAGACAGAACAGACATCATCCAGAACCACAGGAAGGCTGGATGAGTGGAAATTCTACAACTAGAAGGAAAGAGAAAAGCATACCAAGACTCAGAGGAGGTGCGGAGCGGAAGTAAAATACAAAGGTGCGGAGGTGCATGTGAAGAGGGCTGGCAGCTGAGGACACGATTGTCTTTTTCAATTGGGAGGGAGTCTCAGGCTCTGAGCACCAGTTCTGGGTGAGTCTCTGGGGATCCAGACTCATACGGGAGAAACAGGACTGTCTGGCATCAGTAGGAACTCGAGGGCAGCTTTCTCTCAGAGGCAATCACAGCGATTGCCGAGGCCTCTGAGGGCAGGACTGAGAGCAGTCATACTGCTCGCCCTGCCTGCCCTGTTAATCCCCTGGGACCCCGCCCCGCCCACACCATGCATGGAGGCTTTTGCATATGAAAGGTCCGGCCCTTTGTAATCTGAAAATTACTTAACAACCTGCAGCTGCCCCAAGGCCCCAGGGCAACTTGCATTGCTTTACAGCTGGCTTCTGCTGGGTATCCTCAGGCAGAGGCTAGATTAGCACCTCCTTAGATCCAAGAGCCAGTGTACCCAGTGGTCAGAGTGGGACCATCTAATTACAACTCAGATCCATAAGGGACACACTCAGGGGGCAGACTCAGTGAGCACCAAAGCCACACTGAAGCAAGTCTAGCCTCATAAGGGTGTCTTCAGCACAGAAGTTCTCCCACCGTAGACACAGCTGACTCTCACAGCCAATTGGCCTGGAGGTCAATTCCTCCCAGTGTTACCTACAACAATCAAAGCTTAACTACAACAAGACTGTGCACAAAGCCCACAAGGGGGTGCACTAAGAATGTCCACCTCAGGTAATTGGAGAGGCTGAGCCACTGGGCCCAATAGGACACTTAGCACAGAAAGCCACTCTATCAACACAGCGAAGCATAAAAAATGCCGAGACAAAGGAACGGGACACAAATGACAGAAATGGAGGAAAGCAAACTACAGGATATAGAGTTCAAAACCACATTTATAAGCTTTTTCAAGAATTTTCTAGAAACCACCAATAAACTCAATGAGTCCCTCAAGAAATCTAGTGAGACCCTCGACGTGGTGATAAAGGACCAACTAGAAATTAAGCATACACTGACTGAAATAAAGAATATTATACAGACTCCCAACAGCAGACCAGAGGATCGCAAGAATCAAGTCAAAGATTTGAAATACGAAGAAGCAAAAAACACCCAACCGGAAAAGCAAAATGAAAAAAGAATCCAAAAATATGAAAATAATGTAAGGAGACGTTGGGACAACTTCAAGCATACCAACATCTGAATTATAGGGGTGCCAGAAGAAGAGAGAGAGCAAGATATTCAAAACCTATTTGAAGAAATAATGACAGAAAACTTCCCCTACCTGGTGAAAGAAATAGACTTACAAGTCCAGGAAGCACAGAGAACCCCAAACAAAAGGAATCCAAAGAGGACCACACCAAGACGCATCATAATTAAAATGCCAAGAGCAAAAGACAAAGAGAGAATCTTAAAAGCAGCAAGAGAAAGAAAGTCAGTTACCTACAAGTGAGTACCCATACGACTATCAGCTGATTTCTCAACAGAAACTTTGCAGGCCAGAAGGGAGTTCCAAGAAATCTTCAAAGTGATGAATACCAAGAACCTACAACCAAGATTACTTTATCCAGCAAAGCTATCATTCAGAATTGAAGGTCAGATAAAGAGCTTCACAGATAAGAAAAAGCTAAAGGAGTTCACCACCAAACCAGTATTATATGAAATGCTGAAAGGTATCCTTTAAGAAGAGGAAGAAGAAGAAAAAGGTACAGATACAAATTATGAACAACAAATATGCATCTATCAACAAGTGAATCTAAGAATCAAGTGAATAAATAATCTGATAAACAGAATGAACTGGTGATTATAATAGAATCAGGGACATAGAAAGGGAATAGACTGACTATTCTTGGGGGGAAAAGGGGTGTGGAGGATGCAGGAAGAAACTGGACAAAAATCGTACACCTATGGATGAGGACAGTGGGTGGGGAGTGAGGGCAGAGGGTGGGGTGGGAACTGGGTGGAGGGGAGTTATGGGGGGAAAAAGAGGAACAAATGTAATGATCTGAACAATAAAGAATTAATTAAAAAAATAAAGTGATTAACTACCTGCCTGGCACTTAGTTAAGGGGTTTTATTCCCTCCCTAACTTCAGGGAAAAATCCCTACCTGGGGAAACATTTCTCGGAGAGGTGACCTTGCTTAAAACACATAGCGCCAAGAAAGGGAGCAAACATATTAAGAACAGTATGCCATATACTCCAGGTCCCTTGAAACATATGCTGTGCAGATGTTTTTTCCCTGCAGCAAGGATGGACCGGCTTCCGGCAGGTTATATGATCCCTATTATTGTAGTTGAGTCTTGATTGTTGTTGGCTCCTCTGTGAGTGGAGTCAACCCTCAGGCTGCCTGTCTGTGAGAACTATCCTTGGCCAGAGCATATGAGCTATTGTGCATGTGGTGACCACATGAAGTGCAATTGGCACTAGCAGGGTCTGGTTCCTGCTTAGATCTCCCCTTGGAGGTGCTACTTGTGGAGCTAATTGGGTCCTGCTCTTATGTGATCTGAAACCTGTCACTGGGTGTGTTGTTTCTGGGGCCTCTTAGGAGAGACTGTAATATAGACCAGTGTCAGACACTACTTGTGACTGGCCTTGAGATGTTTGGTGCTACAAAGTGATCCACAGTTTGTTGCAGCCTCTACTGGGCCTGTTTGTACATAGGAGAGGCCAAGGTGCACACCAAGGATGGATTTCACCATCACCAAACCTAGTGGTAAGTTTTAAAAATGTTCAAGGCACCCTCTGTTCCACCTTCACTTGCCTTTGCCTGCCAGCTGCCTTTTAAGTCAGTCAATGAAAAAAATCTCTGGAATTGTGTGAAATTGGTTCTCAGTGACTCACCAGGTAAAAGTGAGTGGTGTTCACCAGACTGATACAGATTCAAACTCAGTTCCAGTTATAGGTTTGAGTCCAACCAGCAAAAGTTCCAGGGTACACCAAGGCCTGCCACCACCCACCAGATGCCTGCGGACCTTTGTGGTGGGCTAGTGTCTCAGGGAGTTGTTAGGGTGAGGCCAGCAGCATTCATCAAGCCTAAACAGAACAATATTTGTATGAAGGGATGGTTCTGCACAGGTGGGGAACACGAGTGGGAAAATGCCCCCATTTTAGAGCCACACAATTCAGTCTGCCTCTGGACCTCCTTGACAACCCTACCTCTCCAGGGTAGGGATGCTGCAGTCAGGAGAGTGGGGCTAGTGGATCTCCCATGGGGAGACTGTTCTGGGAAGGCTTACGGGAAGGGGAGGCAAATGATCTCCATCCCAGTGCCACACAAATCTGTCTCTGATATCCACTGAGTCCTTCTGAACTCTACATCTTGGATCCAAACAGCTAACTGTTTTACAGAGTGTAAGCTCTAGGAGTCCAGAGGGTGGGGCTATTGCATTCCCTGAGGGTGATGCCCAATGTAGGGGAGTGTTCCACCAAAGAAATATGGTGTCTTTGGAATGTGAAAAGAAAGCACAGAGACCCTGGTGGCTGTCCCTTCAGCTCTTCCCAGAGCCATACAACTCAGTCTTTCCTCAGAGGACTCTATTCTGCTCCAAGCCACCCTCTTTCTGCTGAAGCCCAGGGTGAGTGGCTGTGAATGAGATTTTGTGCTGTGGACCTTTAAGAGGATGCCTGGTTTTCTAGCAGACTCCTGTCTCCCTGGTTGACAAAATTTTTGCTGATTTTCACAGCCAGATGTTATGTGGGCTAGTCTTCCTTGTTCTGGTGCTCTGGGCAAGGGAGCCTGTTGCAGAGTTGAGATCCCATGCTCCTAAGGGGGAGCCTTTGCAGCTGAGATATCCCTCCAGAATCTCACCCCCCCCCCCATGAGTGTGGGGCCAAC